CATTTTACAATGAGACTAATCTAATGAGACCGATAGAATTCTTTCAAGCAATGTCGAACATATCACACACCATGGAAGTGATTAATCTGGGGTCTTGATCCTTGAAGTGACCGCACCAGTACGATCATGGCTCACACGTGGATATGATGTAAGAAAGGCAATACCCCACTTATCAGGTGTTCACGGCCTTTTTTCATGAATGCAACCTCAATATGAACTTTTAAAAAAGCTTTTATTTATTCTTGTGTCTTTCACCTCATGCATCCCTATTCCATTCATCTCCTCTTCCTTAGGATTCACCCTCTGCCATTGTGCCACCCATAACAAAATTTAAGAGAAAAGAAAAAAAAAAGAGGAAAACAAAATAAGAGAAACAGAAAAATCTTGTCATGAGCTGCAGTGTGACACTCTGAGTCACACAGTTTACCCTTTAGTCCATAAATGTTTTCTTGCAAGTATTCATCACAAAGAGTCATTGATCTGGTTCAAGGTCTCTGGTTTCTGCTACTGTATGGATGGTGGGCCTTCACTGCGACTCATTTTGGGTACCCTGTTGTTGCCCTGTGTCATGGAGATCCTGCAGCTTTGGATATGTAGAACCAGCCCCTTCACATGCTCCAACAGGTCACAGATAGGGTGGATATTGGGTGGGCAAACCTATAGCCCTGGTTCTGGGCCTGGGTTGTTTCTGGGTTGTTTAGCATGCCAGCCCTCCCCCATCCTCCCCACCAGGGTGAGCTCTCCAACATAGTATAGGCTAGTTCAGCTAAAGCAGCAAGGAGCAAGGGCAGGGCTTGTTCTGCTTTTAACCCCCTAGGGCAGACTCACCCAGACCCACATCCCCAGGGCCAGCTTTCCTGTGTTTCCCAGGTGAGGTACAGAGACCACTCTCTTGAGTGCTACAGCTTTTGAGGAGCAGTGGGGAGGAGGGCGGTCGGGCTAGTTGCAGATGAGGGACAAGGACAAATCTCCCATGCTCCTGTTCTCAGGGCCTGCTCACCAGGGCCCCAGCCAACACGGTCAGCTCTACTGTGTTGCCCAGGCAAGGTGCTTGGCCCGATTTCAGGAGTGCTACCACTGGTAAGGAGGAGGATCAGCTCCCCTACCTGCAACATATAGCAAGGGGCAAGGGGGGCATCTTTTCCTTGCCCCTCACGAGTACATGGCAGAGGAGGGGGCCAGGACTAGCTCCTCCACTCCCCAACCTCAAGCCCAGCTCCCCCAGGCGTCTCCTAACAGGGTCAGCACTGCCCAGGGTCGGTTTAAGAGCTACTCTCATGAGTGTGGCAGTGGTTGAGGGGGTGAGGCAAACTTTGGGCATTCCTAGCTGCTCAGCCTTCGGTGGGAAGGAGAGGATGAAAATCAAAGTAGATTAAAATTTATAATGAATATTTCTATTTTTCTTAAAAAAGAGCCATGTGCCATTGCCACAAATAAAAAACATTGGCATAATATTTCACTTGATATGCCTCTGAAAAACAGTCATAATTATTTTTATTGCAACTTGTGCTTAACATCAAGAAACAAGAAATCCTTTAAGTGTTGCTGTTAGTCAACCAAGAAAATTTGGAGAACATTTTGTCTTGGAACTGGAAAAAAAACCCAGCTATAAAAATGTCATATAAAGGGTTAGTCTAGAATTGCATAACCACTAAGTACAAATTGGACAAGCAGCTATTAAATTAATATGAAAACTCTTCTGAGTGGACAAATAAGGAAGCTTTCAGGAAATAGTTTTGGATTAAAAAAGTTTTTCCTTTTGCTGGGAGAATAATAATTTGTAGCTGGGATTTTTCTTAATTAGTACAGTTTTATATATTGGATTCTTTAGTCTTTCATACCCATAATAGTCATTATTTCATTAAGATTAACTCAAATCTTTTCCACTAACAATCTATTGTCTTTATGACTATGAAGAAGTGTAATGAGGTTATTTCGAATTCACACTATTTATTGGGGTGTTCATATGCCACATCCTGTGTGTGGGTATTGACCCACTGAGCTGGCTTGCTGGCCCAGCGATTTCTATTTTGATGAAGAAAAGTTAAAATTGGATAAAATAGGAAGAAAAATGCATCTTGCGTCTTTCTGGCACGCTTTGTAGTAGCTTACGAGGGCGTTTACTTCAGGCGGTTTCCTCTGAATGAAGGAAGTGCATTTGACGCAGAAGAAAACTGATTTCCAAAAAAGTGGGACTAAGCTAAAAGGAGTGTCCTGGATTCTTTATTTCCTTTAAGTAGAACTGTTACTAAATTTTCTAAATAGAACGTTTGGAGCCAATAACGAAGACTGGGCCTAGAGGAGCCAAGAAGCCAAGCCAAGGGCCTGCCACCATGGGCCATGGAGCCATGCAACTCACTTTGGCTTCTGGACGCGATTTCACTTCTCCCTTTTTCTGCCTTTTGCTAAAAACATGTCCAGAGAGTCCTTCCACCTAGGAGGCTTTATCTTTCTCAGAGAAAAGAGACAAAAGCAGCTGCCAGGAGAGACGAGCATTCCCGAAGGAATCATTCACATCTGAAGTCAGCCCTACTACACTGAGGAACCAGGAAGTCCCTCCTTGCCCCTTTACTCCACTAGGTTAAGAGCAGGTGACTGAGGTGCAGAGCATCCCTGAACACATCCTCTGCACCTGCACTGGCCCTCAGCTTCCTTTCGCAGAAAGCTGACATGCGCGCCTGCTGGGAAACCAAGAGTTAATTGTTACCACACTGTTCTGTTTATGGGTAACGCTTCTCCAGATATTCTTGCAGATAATAGAACAAACCACCTAAATGTACTAATTCCCCAACTGGGAAAAAACGTCTGGGGATTTTCCCCACAATTGCTGAAGCTCTAAGTCCTTGTTTTCAGATTAAAACAATACTTATGAAAATATTAAACTTTACAAGAAAGCAGCATAGATAGATGTGAGCAGATTTCTCACCTATTCGTTTCACAGTGAAGAAGACTGACAATTTTTTATGTGTATTTCTCAATAATACCTAGCTTCACTTTTTTATAACCAGGAACTTGGGTAAGTTTTCTAATGTGATTCTGTTCTTTCTTCCTTTGAATTCAGATAGAAAATAGAAGGAATATTACAGGCTCTAAAGCTAAGGAGAAATGATGGATTTCTTTCACCCGCTTTACTATTCCTATTTTGGAATCTTACTTCTTGCATAGAATCCAGCCATCTAAATTTTCAGCTTCCCTTCCCAAATTTATGGCAAGATCAATCATGATCTTTCAAACAAGTTTGAGTCTACTGACTTTACAATACAATTAAAATTTGTTGGCATTATGTTCATTTACTTCTAAACAATATATTATTATGACAAAATGTTCTCAAGTTCAGATGCAAATATAGTTTGGTATAACTAACCTTCATGTCATACTCTCTATCTCCTATATAGCATTTTAACCACTAAATTGTGAAACTGTAGCACTTTAAAGACCTAAGACTTTTTTGTTGTTTAAGTGAACAAGTGCCACTTTAAAGCTGGTGACAAGGGCTTTGGAGTCTGACTCACATGTGCACTGTCACAGAGAGGCATGCGCAACACCACTGACACTTGTGCTGGGTCCTGTCGTGGCACCTGTTTGAAAGCAGCAGATTCCCAGACTCCCAGAGGCCCAGGACCCCCTCCAGAGACAGAGACAGCTGCCAACACTCTCCGCTACCACTGTTCTCATTCCAGCCTTACACAGGGCCCTAAGGGCACATTTTTGTGGTCTCCAAACAAGTGCATGTTGTTGTGCTACCCGTTCTTAGCAGTCACAGCAGCTGCTGGTGGTAAGTCACTTACTGGAAATAGTGAATGAATCCATTCCGACTTCTGTGATGGGAGCAACTATATCCAGCAGGACATGAAGGAAGGCCAAGTGATTGAACACATAATCCATTGCCCAATTTGACTAAAATTGGGTAAAATAATTATATTTAATTCTTGTACCCCCTTAAAAACTATTGGTAAGCAAATGCTAGAACATAATAAAAAGAAACAAAGTTGCAGTATAAACTGACATGACTGCTCCATGATCTGGCGTGGTATAGTTAAGAGGAAGGTTTAATATTGTAGATGTGAGAGAGGGAGCAGCCAGAGGCATCTGGAAAGAATCCAGAGCAGACAGAGAAAAAAGTATACTGAATAGGGCTATCAGGCTGGCCCTGGCCAAGAAAGAGAAAAGCAGGAATAGAGCAGAGAGAGAGGAAGAGTGGGAGTTCAAAGCACACACGCACACACACGCACACACACACACACACACACACAAAGAGAAAGATAAATGAGAGAGAGAAGGAGAGAGATAGAGCAGCAGGGTTATAAGGAGAATAAATCACTTTGGAGAGAGAAATCTGTGAGTTGGAGGGAGTTTAGTGTGGGGAGGAGGTAAAAAGAGCTAGAATGCATGGACTCTGAGATGTGTAACAGCTACTGTGATACTGATGGAGCCTGGACTTCGGTATGCTAAAGGACACTACTGGTAATCCTTTCTTCCTTTTGGAATCTGGAGAAATGGAGTTTCCTTTGGACTCAATAGCACCTCAGGGCAGTCAGTAGGAGTAGCCAACCTTTGTTTAAGAGTGCCTCTGTGTTTAAATATGCCTATTGTTCCTCATTAGACACAAGCCAGTATTTTGTCATTAATCCTACTACCCCACTATGCCTCTGTGAATTAACTCTTACAAGTTTGGCAACCCATTTCCCCCATGGGACTCTAAACCACTGTCCTAAGCATTTAACTGGAAATACCCACCACCCAGATTTTTCTTTTTCTTTTATAATTTTTAAGTTCAGACAAACAGGCAAAGTAATCTTTGGGAGATAGAGCACTTAGTCAAGAAAACTGCTTCATATCCTGGTTTCTAAACTATCTAGTTACAGGCAACCAACCCAAATCTCTAAGTAGCTGTGAGTTCTTGAGAAATCATCTTTAGTCTCATGGACCTTATTCAGTTCCAAGCTCTCTAAAATAAAGGGACTGAATTAGACAAGCTCACAGAACCCTGTTATACTCACAGTTTCAAGGTTTCTCTAGAAAGAAGCAATATGTCTGGACAAAAGCAAAGCAAGGTGTTCAGAACTCGCCACATTGCGGTGCTTCCCACGCTTGTCTCCAGAGCGCAACTAAACAGTGGTTCCCTGCTTAGGCAGCAAGTCAGGAGGCTACAGTGCCAAAGGGTGCAGGGACTTCTTGGTGGCTGAGGTCACTTACTCATGTTCCTGTAGATGAGTTAAACAACTCAGCTGATAGCTCATGTAAACAATGGGCCACAACTTCAGGTATTCAAACAAAACAAAGAAAACGCATAGACAGGACTGGAAAGATGGCTCTGTAGTTAAGGGCACTGGCAGCTCTTGCAGATTTCTGAAAGTTGGCTTCAGGCATTCACGCTGGGTGGTTCACAATCGCTTGCAATCGATCTGGATCTGATAACCTTTGCTGAACTCTGTGGGCAGTTGCACACACACACACACACACACAAGGGAGAATTAAAAATAAAAATAAATCTTTAAAAAATGTAGATTTCAGTATGAATTATTTTAAGACAAAATGTTATAGTTTTAAAACACACTGGCACCTGCACATATTTACTTGAGAGAACTGCTAACTTTTGGCCACATGTGAACTCACACACAATACTTAATCACTGTGGCATTATTCAGGAGAGCCTAAAAGTGGCAACAATTGAAGTGTTCATCTACTGATGAACAGAGAGACAAATTATAGTAGAATCACACAATGGATATTAGTCAGCTTGAATAAGGAATGAAGAAGGAGCCAAGGAAGAAGGACACATATGATTTGGGCACTTAGAGGGGTTGCCAGGACAAGCAAATGCATAGTGACAGGAAAACAGACCAGTGGTTGCTCCAGGCCAGGAGAAAGAGGGACACGGGGTGACTGTTAATGGGTTTGGTCTGAATAAGTGTTCTTTCAGGGGTTATAAAATCTTCTGGAATTAGGTAATCATGATGGTTGCACAACTTTCAGAATACACTTACAACCAACGAACCATGTGCTTTAAAAGGGTGAGTTTTACGGTGTGTACATTCTTTTATACAGCCATTCAAAGAAAGGACCATACTCCCAGAGTAAAGAGAGGAATCAAATTCTTCAGTTAAAAGTCATTTCTTTAAAAAAATTTTAAGGGGAGCCCACTGTGCATCTAAGTGTTAAAATATACGTGGACATAAAAAGTCATTTAGTAAATATTAATAGAGTCTTGTTACGATGGCATGTCAGTATTGGGTACTGGAGGATGGTGCGATGAACTGAAAGTGAATCTATCAGCTAGGGCCAATTTATCTTTTTTTAAACAAATGGACTGGCTAAAGGGGATTTTTGACTATACTGACTGCACATTCTAATGACTTTTGTGTAACTTGCTGAAGCCACGTATGTCACAATATCATGAAGGCATCATTTAAAGGCACAAGAAAGAAAAGGTCTTGTTCATTGTGGCTGTGCTGGCTTGTCTTTGTTAGGGTTGTTATTGTTCAGATGCAGCACCATGCACAAAAATCAGCTGTGGTGGGAAGGGCTTCTTTAGCTCACACTTTCACGTTACTCTTTACCACTGAAGAAAATCAGGCCAGGAACTCACACAGGCCAGCGCCTTGGAGGCAGGAATTGATGCAGAGGCCAGGGAGAGCTGCTTACTGGCTTGCTCTTCATGGTTTACTCAGCCTGCTTTTGTACAGAAACCAAGACTACCAGCCTAGTGGCAGCATCACCCACAATGAGCTGGGCCCTCCCACATCAACTTCCAATTACAGAAAATGCATACATGCTTGTGTATAGCTAATGTTATAAAAGCATTTTCCTATTTGAAGTTCCCTCCTTTCAGATGACTCAAGCTTGTGTCAAGTTGACATAAAAACTATCCGGCACATGGCTGTACTATTCAACCACACAGGCGATTAAAAAGGAAAACAGCATTCTTTGTTCATTTGCTTAGCACATGACCTCCCCAGCCCTACCCTGCTTGCTGCCCCACCTCCTCCAGGCTCCCTTCAGTTTCCCTGGAGACACTTTCCGGCTCAGGACACACGACGAGTAAATTAACAGTGGTTCCATCCCACTAGCTGCTTACTATTTGCTGCATATTCCATATTGCCTCATATTCCTTATAGAACCCAACTTTTGATTTATTAGTTTAGTTGTTTGTTATCTGCCTCTCCTTAATCCTAGAAGATGGTCAGTCCTCTACAGGACTCAGAAGAGGGTCTGCACACAGTGGGAGCTTAGTTGTTGCCTGGATAAGCTGAATGAGTAAATAAGATCCCCTTTTTTTGGGTTTTCACAAACTTTCTGCCTTCCTCTGCTTTTAGTTCTCTTACCCACATGCTCACATTTAATGATTTTTTTCATTGCTTTTTAACCTTCTTAAATTCCTTTTTCATTCTCCATTATTCCATGAATTTCACAAAAGCACAGTCATGGGTGAATGTTATTTGCCTCTTGGTGTTGGAAATAGAGCAGCTAAAATGATGGGTTTCATATTAAGCCCTTAAACCTGAATAAACTCTGTCTCATGTAGGGCGATCCCACTGAACCTCAACAACTTGACCTTTCAGTCTCCACAATGGTATTTTGTGACCTCCCTTCCCTTTGTTTTACCCTATACTTCTTCAGAGAAAAAGAGGCCTTGGAGACAAAGCTACTCAAGAGCCTACCACCAACTCTATGACTGTGGTGTTTCACATCTCTACTTTTCTGCGTGTTGCAAGGGAAGCTCAGATGCAGACCATCAGAAAGCAATTCCTTTGGAAGCTCAAGAACACTTAGGAAGATGCAAGAATCATAGGGTCATTGTAAAATGATCACAAACAAGACAAGATCATGTGTGGTAGAATCTTCATCCTTGCAAGAAGGCCAATTGCCTGAAACTGCCAAGGTAAAACCTAAGTTTCAGTGTTCACACCAAGAGTTTTGAGATACCGAAAAATCATAGGATGATCACAAGAAAAACTGCTGGCATCTAGAGGTTCTGGTGACATAGAGAGGCCACATATGCACAGACAACAGCACTGGGAAAGTGGTTCCCTGACCCTTAGAGACCAATGATGCACTCATCAGTGCTAGATGTTGAATATTGAGCTGTGGGATTTGGTATTCCCATCTTGCCTCACTATTATTGGGGCTGTTCTTCCTTACTATGCCCCCATCCTTATCTTCTTTGGAATATGACTGTTTGTTCTGTGCCATTGTATGCTGAAAGCACATTACTTGTTTTGTACTTATAGGAACTCACACTTATGAGATTGCCTGGAAACTTTGAAGAAACTTTAAACTTATGAACAATGTTGAGTCTATAAGATGATGGGACTTTTGGAATTAGATTGAGTGTGTTTTGCATTATCAGAAGCCATTAGCCTATGGAGGTCAGAGGGTAGAAGGTTCAATTTTAGGTGTAAAATGTCCCGATAGGCCCATGGGTTTGAACATTTGATCCATAGCAGGTGGCATGGTTTTGGGACCTTTAGGAGGTGGATCTCAGTTAGAAGAGGTAGGTTACTGGAGTTCAGGCCTTGAGGTTTTGACTGGTCCTATTTCTTGTCTCATCTCCACTGCTAATCCATGTAATAACTATGTTCCAATCTTCCACCACCTAGAGCCATAGACACAGTGCCTTCTCCACAATGAAACCGAGTTACAGCAAGTCCTTTCTCCTTAAGTTGCCTCTCATGGGGTATTTGCATGCATCTAAGAGAAACTAATAAAGAGCCCCTTTCTCACAGTGCTATTGAGATGAGTCAGTGAGATAATATACACACAAGAGCTTTCTTTGATATAAAGGAGTAAAGCCCCTTTCTTGCTTTTCCTTCTGCACCGACTTTGTTGTACACGATCAGCTTCCCAAGGATCAAGGGCATCCATCCCTCTTCTACCCCCACCCAAGGATCCCCCACACCTAGTCATATGCTTTGAAGTGACTAGTTTAGCATTAATTATGAAAAAAGTAAGAAAATTCTCATTGAGTTTCATTATGTTTAGGGTGTGACATTAAATAAAAATGGAGATACATTCAATGATTTTGAACAGGAAAAAGAATGAGAAATGGCTTAGGAAATTTATGAGCTGTATCAGTTTGTGTCCTGACTGTGGTTCTATAAATCACACTGAACATTACAGCCAATCTTGCCATAACACATTAATAGGTGAGGTCGTCCACACTAATCAGAGATTATTCTAATATTTTGTTTCTACTCAGGGCAGTTTTCAATGACTGCTTTGTGGTTGTCTTATGTATCAATGAAGAATGCTGCTGCGATTATTTTATAGCTATATTTTATTTTTAAACCCAAAAGTTAATATTTAATTACCATTCCCCAACTTATCGATCTACTGTGCCTAAAATGACCACTGTTGATTTTCCATAATCAAATAAAGCAGCAGAGTACCAAGACCGTCTAGTCAGTGAGAAACAGACAAATCCGGTCTGAGCTCGGGAGGTTCCTGTAGATGTGATGTGTGACTTTTAGCAGTACTAGATAACGAGAACAACCCATGAGAGGTATATTTAGAATAAGGGTATGCTCAGCTAGACACTTCCAGAGAGATGTTTACTAATATAATAGGTTATTTTTATGGTTTGCAAACATATATGAGCCTCTACATGAACTTTATTACATGATAGACACATCATTGACACACAAAATGGATAACTATGCCTGTTTGTCATCCTGTCTGCCTGCACGTCTGCCACCCTCAGGGTAAATTCAGGATCTGTAAGCGGTTTCTAAAACTTTGGTATTTTATTTTCCCACTCTTTAACCACTTCCTCGCCTTTGCTTGTGGATTCTCCTCTACAGTAGCCACGCATTTCATAGACACAACCTCCTTTTAGGCAGCTCACTTTCCACAACCACTGATGCAACTTCATGCCATGTCTGTCACAGCCTGTGATCCATTCCTTCGGGGCCTCCCTGCTTCTGCTTTCTTTCCTGACAGCTTGGTAGAGCGTTATCTTCAGTCCATGAGTCAGTTCATTGAATTATTTTACTCAGTGTTGCCTCATGACTTCACCCAAAGTCAAAGTCCTGGCAATGACCTCAGGATGGACGTGACACAGGCCCTGCTGCCTCTGGGATCTAACTTCCCTTTCCTTCCCCCTGACT